CGATATTTTTTTATTTTTTTTATTTTTTATAATTATGATTAAAAGATCCAACCTACAAATTGAAGATAAATATCAAAACTAAAAAAAGAACTATAAATAAAACTAAAAGACAAATAATTAAATATAAGAGACAAATATAACTTTTATGATAAACATTCTGTTGAAAATAATAAATAAAAAAGACAAATAATAAACCAAACCAAACCAAGCCTTAAGTCCCATCAAATGGGGTCGGCTACATGAATCCTTCTTCTCCACACGGCCCTATCAAAGGCCATTTCAAAAAAGACAAATAATATTTAACTAAAAGACAAATAATGAACTAAAAGACAAATAAATATTTATGATTGAAAGACAAATAATATAAGAGACAAATAATTAACTAAAAGACAAATAAATAAAATTAAAAATAATATTTATGATTATTTATTAACATTCTATTGAAAATAATAATTAATTAAAAATATTAAAAATCATAATTAATATATATGATTTTTCATTATTAAAAATAATAATTAATTTTTTTGATTATTAACATTATGTAAGTATTTTGTATTCTAATTTATTAATTTTTTTTATCTAATTTTTTTTTTTTGGTTCTAAATATGATTGAATAACCTGGTTCTAATTTTTTTAATTTTTTTTGTTCTAAATATGATTTTTTGTGTTCTAATTTATTAACATCAGATTATACCTCTGAAGAAAAAAAAGAAGAAACAACAAAAACAAAAAAAAAAATAAAGATGAAAGATTATAATTTATACCTCTCTGCAGCAAGTCGAAGCCGAAGTCTCTGGGTTGAAGTCGAAGACGAGGCTGATGGTCGAAGTAGAAGACGAGGCTGAGGCTGATGGTCGAAGTCGAAGACGAGGCTGATGGTCGGAGTCACCTCTTTGCTTAGATGAGATTAGGGCAAAAGTCAAAGTCAAAGGAGGGTGATGATGGTCGAAGTCCTCTTTACTTCGATGAGATTAGGGCAAAAGTCGAAGACTTCATTAATTAGGGCAAATGGTCGAAATCGAAGACTTCACTGATTAGGTATATACAATTTTTTCTTTTTTCTTTTTAATTTTTCTTAATATTGCTCCGGTACCCCTCAATTTTTCAGAAAAATTGATTTCTGCCCCCGCTGTACCCAAAACGCACCATCGGCGTACCCATTCCGTACCCCGAGCCGTACCCATGCCGTACCCGACTGAGGCAGACGTACCCGACCACTTTTTGCCGTACCCGATACGCGTGCAGCCATACCGGTACGCGTACCCGCACCCGGTAAGTACCCGGTGCGTGTACGGCACTATTTTTGGAGTACCCGTGCTTCATAGGTTATAAATGAGATACGAGAGCAAAGACTAAAAATGAGAGAGAAAACGAGCAGTGAAGAAGAGAGAGAGAGAGAAGATCGATCGAAAGAGAGAAGATCGAGAGATCAACAAAGAGAAGAAGACATATTGAGATCGTAAGAATGAAAAAAAGATGGGAAATTTAACCAAAATCCCTCCATTGGATCCTTGTTTAGTGAAAAGGACAGCTCAATTTATTTTGCTTCATACACCCCCCAAGGAGACGCATAATTGAGCAAGGACAAAGTAAAATATTCCTTTTTTTTCTTAGACAATATTGCTAAAGTAACTTACTATAAGACAAAATAACATGTTACTGTCAAACAAAGTAACATGTTACTATTTATATCAATTTCAACGGTAATATAAAAAAAAATTAAGAAATTCATAGTCAACATAAATCTTATTTGATAGATCTTGATAAGAGAATTCTAAAAATACTAATTTTATTAAAAACCGACATCCAGATCAAAAGTTATATTATTTTGAAGTTTAATATTTTGATAATAGTGGTATGTGTTGGACTTTTTTCAAAGAAAACTTTTTGTGCTTGTCCTTAATGCATTAAAGTTTTATTATGAGAGGGCTTTGACCAAATCTCCCACGAAAGATCAAGATGGCGATCACGATTGCTTTCTTCACCAGATTTGCTTCCTTCTCCACTCTAAGTCTATAACTTTCTCAACAATCCTTCTTCACTCTTCTTTCATGTCAGCCGTGTCCGAGAAAACCATGTCGAGTCCGACACAGATCTCGCACCCGCACCCGCACCCACACCCGTGTCGTGTCGTGTCAACACCAATATTCTGCCCTAAACCAATGAGTCCATGTAACACAGATGACCACCTTCACCTTGACCACCTTGGTCTCCATGGCACTAACAATGTTGCGAGACATGTCCTTCACCCTCTTGCCCATACCAGCAGTTCTCCCTTCCCCCGTCTCCTCCTTGGTGTTGATCAATTCCAACATGATGCTCTTCCTTCCTCAAGTCATGAACACCTTCATAACTAAGCACTGATACCAACTGTCACAACCTTAGAATTTCTAAGCCAAACATGCGATCTTAGATGCTTGTCAACCCCCTTGGTTGCACTTAAGTCAACCTAACCCCGAGAAGAGAGCCAAAGAGAGACACTAGAGATAGAGAGAGAAGTTGTATTCCTTGAATTCCCTGGATTACACTTGGATGATTTGGGGGCCCTCCCTCTTTTATAAGCTACAAAGAGTGTTCTAGAACCCTAATGAGAGAGAGTGTTCTAGACACTTTCTCCACCTCCTCTAATGGTTTATTCTAGAATGTACAAGAATACTATCTACATCGTTAGAATTATATACAAGCCTCTATATCTCTCTACAAGACCTTATGGAATTCTAGAGAGTTCCATTAACCTCTCAAATCTTCAAGCACATTCTAGAGTCTTCTAGTGGGGAATGTCATCCCAAATTGCAAGGCTGCAACAAAGGGGACTAGTTTTGAAATGCAGTAAAAAGCAACCCAAAAAATTATTTGTTATTTACAAAGACCAAGTTTTAATGGAGTTAAATGGGAGGTATAGATTAAATGGGCCAATTAGTAATGGGCTGTTTTTGTGCAGTAACATGTAACTTTTGTCCAAATGGGCTACATATGTAAGAATTTTAAATGGCCAATTAATAATGGCCTGTTTTTGTGAATAAACATGTAATTTTTATCTAAATGGGCCAAGTAAGAATTTCAAATGGGCCAAAAGTTCAAATTGTAAAATTGTAACCCAAAATGCAAAACGAACCGATCATGAAACCTAACACCAATGTTTAGGAAACCGGACCAGACCGGCCGATTGAACTAGTGACCGGACCTAGTTCCGATTCGGATGAACCTCTAAATCCATTCTATGCTCAAAACCAACTTTATTTGTGAAAACTGGAAAAACCGGCGGTTGAACCGGTTGTGGGTTGGCACAACCTGCCAGGCTTGAAGAATTGAAGATTCTTCAAAAAATATGCTGTGGAGAGGGGTTGAACATGGAACCAAGTGCATAAAAACAAGCACTCTAACCACTACGCCATCAACACAATTGCTGATAATGTAATAAGTATATATATTATATATTCAATATTATCTTAATTATTTTTACTAAAAATCAACGTTTAAAAAACATAAAATAAATTTTAAGAAATGTTTTTTTTTGTAATTGTTTATTATTTATTATTTTTATAATTTTAATATCTATATTTTTTATATTTATAAATTTTAATATATTTTATGACACAATTATGACATCAAGATTCAATTCCGATTCACCTGCGGTTGAACCAGTAACCCGTCTACCCAGTCACTTTTCCAGTTCGCTCACCGGTCCAGTATTTAAAACATTGCCTAACTCCATCAGCTTCAAAAGCATAACTTGGTCAAAATCGGTTAGCATTTCTTTAACCTGAATGTAGTCGATTGAGGGCGGGGTCAGGGTCAGACTCAAACTGACCCAACGTGTGCAGCCCTAAACCCCAAGTTTTGTGCTAACTCGTTGAATTTATCAAAAGGTGGAATATTCAAACCTCCACCCTTATGGTCACAGTGCCTTACAGACAAAAGATAAATCAGAAAGGGAAGAAAAAGAAGATCCATATGATTATCCTCACTTAACTTATTACGACGTATAATGAATGACAAACATATGCATGGTTGACTGTATGCATGTGCAAGTGCTTTGAACTACAAAAGTGATATTATATCGCAATTGATGATCAAAGGACCTAACAGGATGCTACATTATGTACTTAAAACATTGCGAATAACTATTATCATATTACCTTCAACAAAACATCTTGAATAATTTACTCCACTAATATGGACATATATGTATATATATTGTGCAGTTTAAGATGACAAACTACCAAATAAACCTAGCAATGCCAAAATGGAACAAAATGACAAGATGGTACAGTACCTAATATGACAAATTCTTCATACGCTATTGAGGCAAGTGAGTAAGATATTGATCTCCATGACAGATTATAAACACTTGCGTTTAGTGTAATGTACTAAAAGCAATGCTATATTCGATCAATCCATGCAGAATATCTCATCAATATAATTTATACATTGGAAAACCACTGCCCGCATTATAAATTTTTTATATTTTAATCTGACAGGCATAACTTATTCTAATTCTCTGGGCACTAAATGATTTTAAAAAAATAAAAATAAAAATAAAAAAGGTATAATAATGCTTGCATTGCTGATAAGTTGAGGGAAATAAAAGAAAACTGAAGATTTATGATTGCTATTCTGATCGAACTAGTCAGAAAGTTCTTGGCCTTGTTTGGTTTGTATTTAAGAAACATGTTTTGAGATAAAAAGTACGAAAATTTGTTTGGTTTGGTTTTTTTTCAAAAGATGTTTTGAAAAATTATTTTGAGAGAGAGTTTTGGAAAAAGTGATTGATTTGATGTGTATGAGAGATAGATTTGTTTGGAAAATTTGTAAACCAAACAAGTTTTGGAAAAAAAATTTAGGAAAATTTGTTTGGTTTGATTACTTTTGAAAACTTATTTGTAGAGAATTTTTTCCAAATTTTTTTGAGAAACACAAACCAAACAAGGCCCTTGTTTCCCATCTTTTCATTTGTTAACCAAGCAACCTAAATAGTACCAGATAATTCTAATGCTTACCCATATCCATATGCAGGATAGAAAGGTGGACCAGGCACGAAGGGCCTTCGGGATGGAAAACCAAAATATGGGTTGGGACGCCTTCCTCGATACTGTTTCATCCCAGGAACGTTAGTTCGTTTTGCAGACACCTGGAGAACATAATAATCCATTACATATTAAATAAACAAATCTGTATGTGTCATTCATATGTGTCAAAGTTGTTATCTTCAATCAATGTAAGTTCAAGGACCTTCAACTGGCGACCATGCAACTCTGATTCATTTAACAGAAGAGCATTCTGAACAGCTTCAACTTCCACAAACTCCACATAAGCAAATCCTTTAGGCTGACCAAACTTGTCTGTCAAAATTGTGACCCTGTTGACTGTTCCACAGGACTGAAAGTGTTGTTGAACCTCCTCCGGTGTACATGCATAGTCTACCTGAAGTTCAAAAATGGTTGAGAAAAATTACTAGTCACTCCTGAACAATGTTTACTGAGAAGAGATATGCTTTAGCAATAGAAACCAATAAACAACATTACAAAAGTCTAGTAGTAATACTGGAGTAAATCCAACAAAAATAATATACACTCAAGCCACTGAAACCAAATAAACTTGCAGTTGACAAATGGCACCAATTTTCCCCAACATGATTCCTCAGAGATAAGTTCTTTAAATTACATTTAAAACATAAATTTATAAACGATTCTATTTGATAACTTTAAGAGTTAATAATTAATTGATTGGAAAAAGTAGCCCTTCATTTTAACAATAGAAACACATTCTTTTGATCAGGAAATACAAACACATTCCAAGATAAATGTCAAGTCCGCAAAACTGACCAACAATGCCAAGTTACCAAGATCAAAATTTTTATTTCCCCAACAGAATGTTTTCTTTTATTTTCAACAATTATTTATGGCATATAAACACCCAGACAGAGAGAAAGTTGAAGTGCACAATGGTGATGATCGATTTTGATGAGCACTAATATGAGGCGAACTATTTGAAACCCTTGCCATTTTTGTAAAACTCTAATTCCACTAGAAAGGATGCATGAAAGTCTCAGGTGTACCAGACACATATCCAGGTGCCTCAAATGGTTTGACGTATTCAGCATCAAACCATAGATAATGGAGCTGAAACTATCCCAAGTACATCCATTAACACAAAACAAAATGTCACTGATAAAATTGCATCAAGACAACATAAACATCAGTTCTTTTTTTACAACCATCTATCAAAATGATAATGACTGGCATGTAGAAAAGAATCTACCACATGCATTTATTCTTTTACTCACTAATGAAACAAGCTGCTACGGTAAACGTGTGGTTGAACAGCCCCATTACATCAATGGACAGATGCTCTAGAATCAAAGGTTCTAGGATAGAATACAAATATTTATGGTCATAATATACTGAAGAGATCAGATCCACAACATTGGACTGGTTGTCCCAAAAGGGGAAATTAAAGAGCACATTGTCTCCGCAATGTGGCTGATGGGAAGAGTTGAAATGTTCTTCTGCAATGTGGTGAATGCAATGTTAAATCAAAGATATTACTCCATTACACTTATATGCACTCATACTTTGATCTTAAGTAATGGCTAGATACTTTGCAAAGAAACACCAACTAAATCTTAACCAAGATTAAATTAGTAGTTGCACAGCATATTCAACGATGAAAAGCTGTGAATATTCTTTCAGAATAATTGAAAAACTCTTTATGGCAAGCAATACTGACAAATTTAGGACCAGGGCCCCAGGGGGGGAGAGTAACACCAAACCTATATCTTTTAATTAAGAATCACGAAAAAGTAGGCGATAGAAGAAATATTTCTAGGAGCATTAGCAGGCTTATTGAATCATAACATCCTCTTAAAGCTTATTGTAACCATCCTAATCCTTTAGAAGAATTGCTATCACGGAACTATGCATGGGTCCTGAACTCAAACCTTTCTTCTTCTTGCGCGGGGGAAGATGATGTTTACAAATTTGTGAATCTTACTAAATAACAAGTTGGAGAATAGGTATAGAAGTACCAACACTATGCTAGGTAATGAAAAAAACTAAACATTTCAAACATCTTGAAGTGAATGCAAAAGGGTCTTATAGCTTAAAATTACTAGACTTAATAATTTTCTTCATTATTTTTAGATAGGTAGTGATTTCCTTGAAAATAAAGAACAAAATACTTCCTTTTTTCTTCTTTTTTTTTTTGGGGGGGGGAAAATTCTTTTCTTTTTGGAAAAACAAAAAAAAATTAGTTCCTACATGGATGTTAAATACATTAGCTTCTTGCTACTAATTACATAGCAAATATACTTTCAACAACATTTTGTTCCACTATTAGTTATAACTTAACACCACCAAAAGCAAGAGCTGAGAGTATTCTATTGACAAAAATAATAGGATGGTAAGATGCAATTCCATATAGGCTTTAGATGGACTTATATGAAATTTGAAAACTAGGTGATGTGACCCATTTGCATACACAAATCCCATTTCCAATCAACAACGAATCATATGTATCCAAACAGTAATGTATTGCTATGTATTCATTGAATGGGTTTAGGCCAAAAGCATGAGAGAAAAGGATTGTAAAGCCATACATTACCAACATATATGGAGCGTGAATCCACCTCCTCCTTCTCAGCCTGAGTAGCAGAACCACTAGAAGAGTCTTCATACATGCCCACAACAAAATAGAAGAGAGTAATTAATTAAAGATAAAAATGCAGTCACCAAAAGCAGCAAACCTTGCAAACATTGCATATACAAGTAATATGACAAAATAGATAAATTTCTTTCGACATATACAAATGGGAGACATGAAAACTAGTCAATACCAAAAATTTCACACGATCCTCAAATTCAAGAATGTAGAAAATCATTGTGGATTGTCATACATGCCCATAAGAAATTAAAATAGATTAAGCAATTAACGATAAAAATGCTGTCACCAAAAGCAGCAAACCTAACAAACAATGCATACAGAAGTAATAGGACAAGATAAATAGATTTCCTTTTAACACATATTATGACCGGGTGTCTGGACCAGCTTACTAATCCTGGGACCCACGCAAAACGCCCCCTCCACATGAATTAGGCAAATCTTAGACAGAGCCCATGGGTGTGGCCCCAAGGAGTTGATAGCACCTAGTAGAAGTTGAACCTAAGACCTCGAGTCCACAAATTTCACATGAGTCCATTAGCAAATTCAAGAAGGAAGAAAATCAATGTGGATTTTGGACACCATGTGTCATCAAAACCCTTAGTAAAAGAGGTCTAGATTATAGTATCTGACCAACTTTTGCATGATTCGACTGTGTATGTAGCCCTTTACAATAACCTATATCAATGTACACTTCCAAATGTATGAAATACTTGCATGGAAGAGTCCAATTGCAAGGATTTCTGGATCAAAAATATAGAATTGACCCTCTAATGTGATTTTCTCCCATTTTTCAATTTGGCCACCTTTTGCATGTTTCAGCTACATATCTAAGCCTTTACAATAGTCTACATGAATGTATCCTTTTAAATGCATCAAATACTTGCATCAAACAGTCACAAACACTAGTAAGAGTATTGAGTCACACATAATAGAATTGACTCTCTCTTATACTTAATACTCTATGGAGAACAAGGATCTATAAATTAATAGATTTACAAATATTAAAATTCTCCATGATCTTCATAAAAAAATAAAAAAAGCTCCCTCACAAAACAAACAATTTCTTACATGAAATATGAAATGCATTAACTCATGCATATTTTATGTTACATGGACTCTTCTAAATGTATGAAATACCCATATCAATACTAGACAGTTAGGTAATGATATGAATATGTGTCCAACATGTGTAATTGGACATTCATGTAACAAACATATTAAGTAAGTTGAATTTACCTTAGAAGGAGAAAAAAAAAATCTCAATTCAATAAGGAACATATAATAGTATCTCCAATATGTTCCTTTTTTTGCAACATATTCCCAAATAAATTAATTACTCATACTATAAAAGGACCAAATCAGATCAAGCCTTGTATGGTGGTATTCAGGATTTGCTTGATCAAATCAAGCAAGTATTTATATCTAGCTTCAAGAAATCGTATTCGATCTGGCTTAAACTTGACAAAACAAAGTACACCAAATCTTAAAATTTACCATAATTTAGGACAACCAATAAAAAATTCCAAGCTAATCGTGGTCATGGTTTTCTAGAGAGACATAAACCGATGGCATCGTAGAGGACTGCAAATAGATAGATAGCTTGAAGGCGGGCGAGTGAGCGAGAGAGAGAGAGAGAACATACTCTTAAAAGTTGGATTGAACCAATGTGTTCTCAAATCCCGTTGCCGATTTCCGCTCATCCTCAAGAATTTCTAATTTTCTACACGATCTACAGAAGTAGATTTAAGGAAATCAACCTAGGGAAGAAATTCAAAACTTTGTTGTCCACAAAGATCTAAATTTAAAATAATTGATTAATGAAATCACAATAAATAAAATAACCAATAAAGATCTTAAATGAGGATGGTAGGTTACAAAGCGGAAAATACAATGAATCGATATGAAAAAATTAAAATAAATAAATAAACCTTTTCTAAACGGGAAAAGTTTTGGGTGAGATGAAATCGTGTCAACATTCAATATTGGTTCACAATCGATAATATTTTCACCATCTAGAGTAACCAGAGCTACTGCGCTGAAGCATCCAATTTCCTATTCCATCTCTCGAGCTTCGAAGAAAACCCCTCCCCTTCGGATCTATGTGGACGTCCTCGTTAAGTCGGTCGAGTGAAATTATGAACAAGCTATAGACAGAACTTCCTAGAACCTTTGGAACTTGACCACAATTTTAGGTATTCACTTAATCTTGTTAGGGATAGGTGCTTTTCTCCTAGCATTCAAGGCTCTTTATTTTAGGGGCGTATATGATACCTGGGCGGGAGGGGAAGAAATATGGTATCTTCTATTTTTTTCATCCAATTCCCAATGTACACGTAGTAGTAACAGACAAGAAATGCTGACATGATTTCGTTACACCCAAAACCTTTTTTGTCTAGAAAAGGGGTTTTTTTTTTTCCTCATGAATTCACTGTATTCTCCGCTTCCTAATCTACCCTTCTCATCTAAGATCTTTATCAACTATTTTATTTGTTGTGATCTCATGAATCAATTATTTTAAAATTAAATCTTTCTGAACAACATAGTTTTCAATTTCTTCCCTATGTTGGTTTCCTTAAATCCACTTTTGTAGATCGTGTAGAAGACTAGAAACCCTTGAGAATGAGCGGAAACAGGCGACGAGATTTGAGGACAAATTGATTCAATCCCACTTTTACAAGTATGCTCTCTCTCTCTCTCTTACGATTAAAGATTCAATTCACAATTTTTGCATAATTGATATGAATCTATGGTGAATCGCACAATTCACAAATTATTCAAGATTTGATTCATTTTTTACAATTCATGTAATTCTTGAAACTATTATGACTGACATTTTGGATTCTTTTTTTTTTCTCTATTTGTTTTAGTAAAAATAACATAATACAACTTCTAATAGTGTTTACCAAAATAACCAACATATATATATATATATATATATATGTTATATACACGATTTGTTGTTATTTTGGTGATCATTGAGTTTTTAATAGAATCCAATCACATTCAATTAGACCCAACATATTTTTAACATTTTCTTCTAGTTTTTTCTCCTAAACAAATAATAATGTATCTTCTAAAGATGTTTTTAAGTAACTTACACAATGAATTCTCTATTGTTATTTTATTTTATTAAAATAAATATACTTCAATATTGCATGAGTGAGGTTAGTTAGTTAAACCTAATGATTCCATAATCTTTTTTATTTAAAAAAATATATATATATATTGTTTTGAACAATAATCATGCCCATTAAAATGTTTTAGGTTTTAAAATAAATTATTCCAAATAATTTTTTTCTTATTATTGGGTCATTGTTACTCGAATTGTGTATGTATACTTATTGTCCAGATATCAACATTGGGGCTATTTGTTGCAACTTAAAGGAGCTGATTATAGCCTATTTTAATTTGGGAGTCTGCCAAATTGTTTAAGGCAACTTCTGCTCATAGCTTATTAGGCAAAAATCAAAAAAATAGCTTAAATAAGCTAATTATCTTGAAGCTAATGAGGGGCGTTTTTGGTTTTTGCTTTCTGATTATCAGCTTTTATGTTACAATAAGTTGCACCAAGCAGCTCCATTGTTGTTAAGTTATTGTTACTTAGAAATTGAGAGTTTGTTTTTGTTTATTGTCCTTATTAAGAATGGTTGATTAGAAATATCTGAAAAAAGAAAAGGGTAACATGATGATCTTACGGAGGATTTGGACATAATCATACACTTGTATGTATGAATATAGCCTCTGTATGTATGATAAGAAAATATTTTAATTTAATAGGCTATAATCATACATATTTCATATTTACCGTAAATTATAGCCCATAATTAATTTAATAGGCTATAATTACATGCATATTTCATATTTAAGGTATCAATGAAAATATTTTAATTTAATAAACAATAATCATACACTTGTATGTATGATTGTATCCTATTAAATTACGTGACCATCATTAATAATTTCATTGATTTAAGCCTAAATATTTCATATTTATAAGATACATTTAACATTCAAGTGTGTAGATATATTTTTCTAAGTAATTTAGAAAAAGTGACCGAATCTTTACGATTCACGATTCGATTCGATTTGCGATTTGGTACGAGGCCATTTTGATTAAAGATTCGAATCCCAATTTGACAACTATGGTAACAGACAAGAACTTTACAATCAGAACACGATACCAATAATTTTAAGAGCCTAACCTAGACAAACTAGTGTTTACTCATTCATGGCTTGTTTAAGAATATATTCACCCACCCAAAAAACAGCTTGTTAAGAATTGAGCCCATAAACAAGGTTCAAGCTCCACTCATGTAGTAATGGATGCCTTACTTACATATGAGTAAGCCTTACTAATGTAGAGCCCAATTTATTCATAGATAACTCAATTCTTGGAAGCCTTACTCATATAAAAAACAATGGGTATGTTTGGTTTGGATTTGTAGAGTGATTTTGGAAAAAAAAAATTTTAAAATTTGTTTGGTTTGTAAATTTTCCAAAACAATTTTCAAAATCACTTTCTCTCTCTTACCTATCAATCAATCACTTTTTCTCTCTCCTCTCTCCTTCTCAATCACTTTTTCTCTCACACACATCTACTCAATTATAACAAAATATCAAATCATTCCAAATTCCCAAACTACTTTCAAAATACACAACCAAACAAACTAAAAAAATTTCTAAACTCTCTCCCCAAAACAATTTTTAAAAACTACTCTCCCAAAACCAAACCAAACATACCCAATATGTCACATGAACAAGTTGTTTTACCCTCAGGCATGGAAGAAGAAAATTGAAAACTTTCCTACAAGCCCAAGTCCTAAAATTTGAGGATTAAAGTCAACCTAACACATAAATGTATAACCACGCTTGGCAAACATAGCCAAATGTGCAATATATTTTATAAGAAACTAATTCTCATCCGTAACATATGCCTTCATATATATATATATATATATGAGAGATTTATTTATAAATACCATTTAGAGGACTTATAGCCCAATAAG